TTCTCTCATCTATATCAGCCCACTTCAACTTTTATTTCTCTCATTAATAAATTTCAGGTAGTAAGACCAACATGCGTTTTCTCTCTCTCATTGACTCTCCTGCAAATATAGGCGTGCAGTAGAAGCCATGATACTATCTTATCTGCCATGATGTACATCTGTGGCAAAATTGCCTATGACATCATAACATTCAGTACACCATTCTCATATTCGCTTTATGATATCATAATGGAGGTGATATTACTTGCCCTACTGTGGACACCCATGCTTGGAAATCTGGGGTTATTTTTAATCAGACAGTATAATTGATGCTCGGCCAACGAACTGACTGTAATAAAAGCATGACATGTTCATAAATTGCTTAAAGTGACCACCAATTGTTCAGAGATGCAGATTAAAAAGGGGGAAACCTATCTTAATCATTGAGAGATGCCCGATACCTAATTTAAGCTGAGTTCAGACTACATGCTTTACCCAGTCAACCCCGTGGTTAAATAAATTAGGTCTTCTTAATTTTGAACTGAAAAGTACACAATCATCTTAAAACTAAGCCACTCACTCCAGTCCTGTCTGTTTCTCCTTGACTCTTCATCCCATTGTGCCAAGAGATTATAGGAAACTCTTCCTCATCTGACTGGTTTTTCCAGCTTGGCCACTACCCCACCATTGATTTGAGGACTTATAAATCAAAGTGGAGTAGGCATGAATATTTTGACTCACAACTGGTTCTGTAACCCACTCAGAGTTCTTTGAGAATGGCTGAATTTAAAACTGCTATCTGGGTTTAAAGGGGCATCTATAGCTGTGGCAGTAGCATCTGATTAAATAACAAGAGTTTGGTCATCTCTTCGTTTGGGTAGCAGAAAGTATGACATTCTTTTCATTCCTTTTCACCATCCATGTAACAGGCTACTCTGTGTTAGCTGCAAACTGTTCCCATCTTTTTCTCTTCAGGTTGCTTCCTTGTGATGTGTAATTCCAAAGTGGCTTTTTGGAGAAAAACAGTGATCATGTTACTAGAATTTCAAAAGCAAGTTACTGTGAAATTAATTGCAAAAGCATCTGGAGATTATCCCACTCCCAAATTGCTTTCCCAAGCAGTTTTCCAAAATTTATTGAAAATGTGCTGCGTGTGGCCCAAACTGACTTTAGCCAGCTGAAATTGGTGTTAAGTGAGATATGCTCTACAGGCATGATTGCTTGTGATGTGAAAAGAAATTCCAAACCAAACAGATTTTCTTGACATCACTTGAGAAATGATGTTTGTTTTCTTTACAGAAGGTAAGGTTATATAATCCAATCTTACAAAAAAGGAGAACAAGGTATCTCACATTTATGAGCTAGGAGGGTGTAGTGGATAGAGTTGTAACTGTGCCATTTCGCTGGGGCAGTGAGCACCAGTGAGATCAGTGGGGCTTACTTCTGAGCAGATATGTATAAAATCACACTGTTAAGACATTGAGAAATGAGTTAGAAAGTCCCTGATTTCTGTTTGGTCTTCACCTGAAAAGAGGGACTATAGCTCAGCAGGAGAAAACATGTGCAGAAGATCCCAAATTCAGGTCCTGAGCATCTACTTCCAAAATAAGCAGGAAGCAAGTGACGAGAAATACAATTCTCTGATATAGAAAGCCACTAACAACAAAAAGACCCAATGTAAGATGCTCTTTAGATGCTTTGGATCTTGGTTTCCATCAGTTTAGCCTTGATGACTAGAGCTAACAGATGTTGTAGTCCAAAACTTCAGATAGGCACCAGGTTGGGAAAGGTTGAAGCAGCCTGTTATGAATGAGACTCATGTACAGACTGATCTGGTGCAAGGCAAATTTCTATATTCTGTCTTTGAACTCCCCACTTGCTTTTAGGGCCCATCAGTTTATCTCTGCCTCGTTCCATTCTTTTCCGCCGTCCAGAGTATAACCCCACTGACCTACCAGGTGGAGCTTTTTACAAGAGCAATGAGATAATGGGAGTGAAGCACTCAAAAAGCACTATATCAAGCAAAATGTTAGCCATTATATTTGGAAGAGATGTAGATGCCTTTGATATGCTGGTGATTTGAAAAACCAATAGAAACCCTACATTTGTCAACTCCACCTATGTCCAAAACAGGGCAGAAACAGCATAGGAAAAGCCTACTTCACAGATCTAGGAGAGGATTGCCACTGAGTGCCTTGTCCTGAAGGAGTTCCCTCCAACCAGGATCCTTTGATGGATTGCATTTTTATGATAGGTTGACCAATGCCTCTTTCACACAGACTTTACTGTTTAAGATGCAAGCTTAAAAGTTGGGATCTTGTTACTTACTCTCATGAATAAGGCTCAGAAATGAACTCCACAGGCTTCAGATCAGAATTAAGCTTAAAAAGCTCCAAAATTCTTCTCTGGCTAGGATTAAGCTCAGGGTTGGTCAACTATCAAACAAGATTAATCTTTATTATAGACATAGACCAGCATATTGTCAACCGTTTTCATCTCCCCCTCAATCTTCCCTGGTCCCTTGATTCACGTTCTCCACCAGCCCTCTACTGCCATAAACACCCTTCTGTCCTTCCACTTCTCTCATGGTTTTCTCAAGGTACCTATGTGCTGAGAACTGGTGGAATGAGAATAAAATTGTCTTTAACTCTCTCCCTGTATCCCATCTTGATAAGGATGTAAAACAGTGGATAGAGATAACTAGCAAGGATCGCTTTAATTTCAGCAAATAAAACTCTTTGGCAACCAACCAATGAAGACCTCTACTTCTCCTGGCCATCTACTGGGGAGGGGCAGGAAGAGGAATTAAGAGTCAGAAAGAAGATGGCAGAAAGAATGACTAGCCCTACTTAGGAAGGCTTAGGAGTTGTCCATCGGTGGCATTAGCTCCACTCCTGCTAGCAAGCACTATCTAGTAGGGAAGATGCCCTTCAGTTGGGGGGGGAAAGTTCCTCATTCTTAGGCATACCAGATCTGGGCTGGAGACATCGAGATGACCATTATTTGGCAAGAAGGAGGAGGAGAAGGAGAAGGAGAAGGAGAAGGAGAAGGAGAAGGAGAAGGAGAAGGAGAAGGAGAAGGAGAAGGAGAAGGAGAAGGAGAAGGAGAAGGAGAAGGAGAAGGAGAAGGAGAAGGAGAAGGAGAAGGAGAAGGAGAAGGAGAAGGAGAAGGAGAAGGAGAAGGAGAAGGAGAAGGAGAAGGAGAAGGAGAAGGAGAAGGAGAAGGAGAAGGAGAAGGAGAAGGAGAAGGAGAAGGAGAAGGAGAAGGAGAAGGAGAAGGAGAAGGAGAAGGAGAAAGGTCCCACCTAGTGATCACAAGGATTTTTGCAGCTCAGATCTGGTACAACTTCTAGAGAGAGAAAGGAAACAGGGCTTGAAATAAGAGGCACATGCACCATGTTCTGTCCATGTTCCAGTGTGACTGTGTTATGTTCTTTCTGAAGGAGACCAGAGAGAAGTTTGGTGGTCAAGACATCGTAAATGCACAGTGATTGTAGAAATATGAGACCACTGAAATCGGGGGTCTAAAGACACCCTAAAGACCCCCTTGCCATTTTCATTGGTTTGTTCAACTTTGGTGTCACCCATCCAAGCATTTCCTTAACATCCCCAGCTGTTTCTGTGGGTTTATTTACATGAACAAACACATTGAAATAACTATATTTTTAAACAAAGGTTTTTTTGTTTTTGTTTTTTACATACAGCCTTCTTTTATGGGAAGTGGTCACAGGTCATATTCTCCAACCTGCGTGTCCCTTTCTTCCCATAGAGACCTGCAAATAACAATCAGCAAAGAGAGAGAGGAAGGAAGGAAGAAAAAGAGAAATATCAAAACCAGACTTAAACAAGTTTTAAGGGAACATAAACAGCAACAACAGAATACTCTGGAAATCTGAGACAGGGAAAGCCAGTTTTCAACAGGAGAAAAGACAGGGAAGGAGTGACAACTCCAGGCTTTGCAAACCATATAGTAAAATGTGACGTTGGTTTGTTCTCAGCAGGAAAAAAAAGGGGGGGGGAGTAAAGAATGAAGGGCATCTGAGAACAGGAGCCTTGGAGATGAGGAAAGAATCTGAAATCGATACAGATTTCACTTAAAAACAAGATGGTCGTCAAACATTAATAATACAGTAAAGGCACCACCCACGCTTAGTTATTGTCAGTCCCAAAGTAATTGAAAACCAGAAATAATGAACTAGGTTAAGAAAAAACACCAAGCAGGCTGCAGAGCAACTAACTTGAGTGCACGGCTGTGAGATGGAGGGTTCAGGCAGGATAGAGGGATTCCTGACCAAGCCACTTTCTTCCCTCCTTCTGTACGAATCTGAAAAACATATAAGACTGAAAAAAACGCCAAGCTTTTCCATCGATGAGAAAGTCTTTGTAACTCATTTCACGATAACAGTCTTGTCGACGTCGCACAAGAGTCTTTGCTCTTTCTTAGGTTAAATGTGTTATTTTTATATATTTTTTGCTTGCTTGCTTGTTTTGCTAGCGATGGGACCAAAAAAAAAGGGACACGCATCACGATGCCGACCTTCGGTCTTTGTTCTTTATTTCAGCCTTTTGTTGTTCACGGATTGAGTGAAGAGAGAACATTCTTAAAAGTGGTAGCAAAAAATAATCATCGTAATAAGATTAATAATCCTGATTGTATCAAAGTCTCCCCCTCCCATCCTTGAAGATGGAAAGAGTTCTCAAGCCAATGGATGGTGTCTCTAAATTGTGCTACTTCTCATCATGGATTTCTTGGAGAAGGAAGGAAATTCAGTTTTAAGGGGTCAGTTTCCCATGTGAAATACAAAAGTTTGAGCAAACTTCGGAATATTGCTATATAGCGTTGACCCAATCTTTGACAGGTGCTTTTCTTGATCCGATACCCCACCTCTCTTCAATCAGGGACATTTCACTTTCCTTGCTTCAAGTTAAACCTGGGTTTTTCATGGTTCTTCTCCAACAGATCTCTGTGTTTGTTTTATTTTTTTATTAAAAAAAAAAAAAAGGAACCAAAGGAAATTGCTCTCAAACAGTCACTTCTGTCTTGCTGTTAGTGATGAAGTATGGCTGTGTGGGTAAATAATGCTGACTCCGCGTGGTCAATGGGTCTCTCACAGCAGGATCTCCAACAAGGTTCCTCCCTTTGGTTGCGTAGGCCTGCCGCCGAAGGGACTGATCACTAGGATCCCAGGTTTTGTAAGCCAAGGGGTGCATATGTGGTTTGGTGGCTTTGGACTTCTGTCCATTTTGTTTCATGGTCCCCCCTTCAAGGATGTATGGCCGATCTTCCTCCACGTGCACCGGGTGCAAAGGCAAACTTCCTTTCGCAGCCAGCTCTGCCAGATGACGCCGTTTTGAGTAGAAATCATCATTGCCCTTGTCTGCTAGTTTTGAAAGGAGAAAAAAAGGTAGTATTAGCTCAGAGGTAGGAAAAAAAAATGTTTTAAAATAAAACATACCATTGCCAGACCGCAACATATAAATAGATCGTGGTGTGGGCTAAAATTAAGATCTCCTTCCAGATGGAGATAACAGTCGGATCATAAATAGGATTTGTAAGAAATTACAAGCCTTCTTCCCTATAGAGAAACCAGCGGAATCTTAGCAGTAGAGAGTATTGTAAACTCCTGGCAGCTAGTCAAGAATTCATATAGCTATTGGAGACATACCATCCCCCAGATTGTTCTCAGTGGCTCTGCTCTCTCATTTATCTGTGCAAATGAGCACCTGGGTAGCCCAGCCACAGCACTTCTTATAGGTGGCCCTATACCTCTGGAGCTTCCCTTTTGGAGAAGTCCAATAAATAGCCTCCTTCATTAGGCTAGCTCTAGACAGTCTTAACATTTCCCAAAATGTCCCAGGAGCAATGCTACTTCACCATATGGTAGGGAATTAAAAATAAAAGCAAGACCCAGTTGCCTTGCGCATCACTGCAGGCAACATCTGCAGCAAAGAAGTCATAGACGAACAAAGTAGGCCATCAGAGGATTCGACGCCCAGGGCCTGTATCCTCTGTCCAGGATCAAACCTGGAAGCAACCTGACTGTTTTTCATATGCTATATTCCTGCCCATCAGTGTCTACTGAAGGGTCTTGCAGTTAACTGGGAACCCACTTTCTAATGATTGTATTTAAGAGGAGAGGAGATGAGATGAGATGAGATGAGATGAGATGAGACGAGATGAGATGAGATGAGATGAGATGTTACTTGGGCTTTTGTGAAGCATGGAATACACTAGAACTTTTCAATGCTTCCAGTTATCTGGACAGGGGCTGTAAATCCTCTGTATAATAGTTTTAATGCTGAAAATGACCTTTGGGTGCTCAAAGGCTCCTCATATGGATAACTGGAAGGAGTTAACAAGTTCCAGGTCTAACAGCCAGGCCTTGGGCCCGGTGCAAATTTCATCTGAAGCTCCGGCATGTTAGTCTTTACTAGGCAGGGAATAAGGGCATGTAGTTGTTTAACAGCCTCCTACTTGGGGATTCTTTTTGGAGCCATAATCCATTTCTTCTTCAGAGAGATGCTTCCCCCCCCCCCTCCAGGTGAATTTAAATTGCTTCTGAAAGAGCCCATGTTGTCAAATTACACTCTACATGCTTTACCTGCCTCCATCTGTCTCCCTGTTAATTGGCATCTTAGTGCTTTTATATAACACGCAGGTGCAGTTAAAAAGATGTCTTCCTTTTTAATTAAAACATGGAATGCAGCTAATGGCTTGTTCCCATTTCAAAATAGGATCTGAGATCAGAAGAAAGCACCCTTCAATGCCTCCTCTCTTTATAGATCAGGAACTGATTAACCAGACACATTGTGTGGGCTAATCTCATTTCACTTCACCATGTTTGCCGGTAGGACGCAGCGGTGGTGTGCTCCTTATTTACAGTCATTCCACATGCAGATGGAAAACCTTGTGATCATACTGTAGAAACTACCATGGCCAGCCTGAATCTCCCCCATTGTGATGGAATGGTGTTATGAAGGCCAGGTTCAGGGAGATAAGCGTTTCCTTAGCCTCCAGCAGGAGCGTGGGAAGTTCAAGAAGATGAGGCTGGCACCTCCCTAAGGAATTCATGGTGTTGTGGCTGGCTGGCTGGCTTGGGAACTTGGGAACTTGGGTTCAGTCTGGAGAGATTTCTGTCTTGAGGTGGAAGCTAATAAACGCAACAGAACTGTGTTTGCATTGTCTCTTGGAGTTCTTTGGGCTGAACCTGACAGCCATCAAAACAATGCCACGTCCAGTCAAAATGCTGCCATAGATCCAATATTTTGCTGAAAAAACAGTTGTCAGTAGTAGCTCCCAGGCATGTGTTATATCATTTTACAACACAGTCTACTTCTGTGTGAGAAATCACAAATGGCCTGGCAGATGAGCATTCTAGAAAAGCTGATAAACCAGACACCAGTTCCAAACTGAGTTGAAGACAACCTATCCTGCCATCAGGCTTGGTACTGGAGCCAGAAAAACTAAGTTAGATTTCCAAGAATGGGTATCTCAGCAAGTGAAAGAAGTTGTTTGATCTGAGCTGAGCCCATATCTTAGCCTAAAACTTCTGATTCCATTTCCAAATCAGACAGCCCTTCAAGATAGCCCAGACAAGAAAACAAGAGCAGGAGTGCTAACACTGTATTTATTGCAAGGTTTCAGTAACAGAATCTTGCAAGTCTGAAAGCACTTCCCTTCTCCTTTGCCTTTGTGTGTGTGTGCCCCTTTGAGTCTGTCTTGACTCCTAGTGACTGCCTGGAGAAGTCCCTGCAGTTTTCTTGGCAAGATTTTGGAAGTGGTTTGCCACTGCCTTCTTCCTAGGGCTGAGAGAGAGGGACTGGCCCAAGGTCACCCAGCTGGCTTTGTGCCTAAGGCGGGACTAGAACTCAAGGTCTTCTGGTTTCTAGCCCAGTGCCTTGACCACTACACCAAACTGGCTCTATCCCTTGCCTTTACTTTCCAGAGAATTAGGGAGGGGTCCTTTCTGAGATGCTTTCCGTGTCCCCATTCCTTGTGTGGACTGAGATACCTCTTATCAGACCATAGTCTAGGCTGTGGCTCTTCCTCCTCCTGTCTCCCAAGGTTATTCTCACCACCCATTACAAAATCTTAGTGTCCAGTAACTTATGCGTAACTGTATCAAAGGGGTAGGTGTTTTGTGTGAACAACACAACCCATTTGGCAGTGAGAGTAAAAGGATTACTTTGACCTCCAAACCACCACAACATTGTTTGGTGATAAACCACTCGCCATGTCATGCACATACGAATGAAACACAAACAGAAGGTAGACCCTTTCTTCCTACTGTTGACACTGTAGAATGCTTTGGATATACTCAGAGTGTGGTTTAGGAACTTTCTCTTGCTATTTGTTTCAATTTTCACTTTCTCAGCCGTATGGGGGAGAGATTGAAGAGGGGCAGAAAGGGGTAGGAAGTGGGTAAGCTGCCATGATAGTGCCAACTCTGATTAATCCACCATAGGTCCCCCACTTTATTTTTTGTAATAATAATAATAATTTTTAAAGGAGCAAAACATCAAAGCTTCCAAGCCATCTTTAGGGTAGTCAGAAATCCATCAAAGATGGATTTGACCAAGATATCTTTGTGCATTTCTGGTGGGCAAGGATAAGTATCTTCCCTAGACTGGCAGCTAGTTATGGAATCAGTTGTGTCACATAAACATACAGTAACCAGGGTGTCAACATCGTTGGAGAAAGGATGCAAAATTAGCCCAATGCAAATTTTTATTAGAGTAGACTTGCAAGGTCCCAAAAACAGACTCTTCCACAGCATTGATGGAAACCTTGAATAAAATCTATTATTGTCCATCTTTTTCTGATCAACCCCCTCCCCTCTTTAGCTCTTTGTGATAAATGTATCATTGAAGACTGTCTGGGTGGCATACAAGTTTAACAAATAATTAGGTGGCATGCAAGTTTAATAAATAACAACAACTTTATTTTTGATCCTCTGCAGCTCCATAGGAACTGGGTAAGGCCCCTAACACCAACCCTGATTGAATGACACTGGATGGATGTTTTGGGTAACTTCAGAAACAAAACAAAGCAAAAATCAAACCACAACCCCACAAACAATCTTCATTTTCCCAGGGTCTTGATGATTATGTACTATTCTTATTCAGGGGCACCTGTTTTCCCTACATCGGCTGTGGCGCAAATACAGTCTTTGTGATTCAGAATAATGAGAAAAAAACAATATATGCCTCTCTCTCTCTAACTTTCTTGGCAAAGAAACAGGAGCAGAAGCCAAGATGGAATAATGGTCAATCCCAACGGAACATTTCATTAACAAACTTAGAGCGTGCTACAGTATAATGGTTATAACCATGTCTACAGTGTGCATTTGAAGGAAAGGCCACTTAGAAAGGACAGAGATACAGCTCCCATCATTCCCACTGAATATTTATCTGGGGTCTGTGTGTGTGTGTGTGTAATCTAACACATCTGAACAGACTGAATTGGTTGCCCCATAAACATGATTCGGAACACCCAGTTTGCCTTTCTCTCCCTCTCAAGATGGCAAAAATGGGAAGTGTCGAGATTGGTGGCTTAAGAGAAGACTTAATTACAATGAATTCAGGGGTTCTTAAATTCTTTTAAAGGCATTTCATGCCTTCATGCATTACTGTAACAATATTAGCTTGATCCTATGTTAATCCTGGTGATTTCCTCTTTGTTTGTTCATTTGCCTGAATACTTTGGGAGACACCACTTTATGATCCCTTTTCTTATCATGAATTGATATCCTTGCAGTATTCTGGGAGCATGAATTAATTAGCGTGTGCACCCATCAGTAGCTGACCTATAGCTGCGAATGAAACATTGACTGACTTCATTTAGCTTTATTTGGATTAGGAGCAGGGGGAAATAAGCATATTGTTCAATTAATCCTGAGGGGTTTTAGTCCCAAACAGAGATGAGCTTGTTTGGAGGTGAATTAACACCTCCCTCTGTCAACTCACACCTCCATTTCATGTAAACATTGATTTAAAGGTTAGCTGTCTCTTTTGGCATCTATCATAAAGTCAAAAGTCCTAGAGGGCCCCCATAAAGTAGACCTCTCTGAACATGCAGTCTCTGTAGCTTTTTTTGGGTTTCATACTTTACACCATATGCATGTGAAGAAGAGGCAGAAATGGGTGATAGCCTCCTATTGTCCCAAACCATTTTTTTTTTAATCATTGAGAAGGAAAGATGAATTACAAGGACTGGATGTGGATAGGGAAACAACAGCTTCCTTTGTGGGGGCTATCAGACTTGAAGATGTGGCCATGGCTGATCAATCTACTTATCCAAGATTGTATGGTAAACCTTTCTTATGGTCTTTGACCAAGATGGAGATTGCATGGAGTAAACTGATTAGGGAATGACATTTCA